TTCAGGCAACATGACAAAGCCATGGAGTGCTGGGGAGTAACATCTTTACCTTAGAGCACAGCATTTAGAGAGGGGAAAGATGGGGGTGGGGGTGGTTGTGTGTGTGTGTGTGTGTGTGTGTGTGTGTGTGTGTGTGTTTAGCAAAGGCATTGGGCTCCCCTAGAGACAAGAGGCTGCAAAGAACTGGAGTCTAGGAAAGTGGCCCCAGGCCCAGCCTCTACCTGGTATGACCTGGTGCTACCATATTGCTCATCTTGGCACCACTCACACTGTAGTCCACGTAAATGGCCTTGAGCTGCAGAGGGTGGCATTCGCATAGTCTATAATGTGAATGGTGCTTCTGCAGTTGGGCAGTGGAGGCCCGGGCAGGATGGACTCAGGCCAGTGCGGTTTTCTTGTGGGTTCTTCACACTGCCAAAGTTAACAGGGCCACCAGAAACCCTCCTGGGAATAGTGGTTGGAAAGGTGGAGATCCACAATTTCTAAAACTAGTCAGGGCTTGAAATGAGAGAGAGAGGTGGGGTGGGGGGGGGAAGAGAAGAAAAATAATATTCCAGACGTTGCTTATTGCCTATGGAAAGCAGTGAGATGATTTAGGCTCTCTTGCAAAGAAAAAGAAGGTGCCTCCTTCAACCAACCTGTGCGTTTTGAGAACACGTCTCGCTGCTTTCTTACAAAGTAGACTAAAGGAGTGACATTTGTGGACCAGTAGTTGTCCAGCCTGGAACAGTCTGGAACAGTTAAGACCATCTTGCGTGTAGCAGCTTGTTCATAGAAGAGTGTGACTCAAAGGAATTATGAATTTCTCATGGTATGTGTGTTTAGGCAAAGATGTATTATTATTTACCTTTCCATCAGATAGCCCCCAGAGAAGGAGTAAGTTTAGGCTCCCTAGCTCACCTCTTGGTTTCTGCTCAGTTCTATCTCAAATTCCTAGCTATAATTGGAAGAGTACTTAGAGTTCTCACACGTAAGTGTGCAAACACAGGCACACACGTTTCTCCTGATCAGCACTGCTGATAGAGTGCCTTCGTCTTCTCTGCTATTTAGTCTGAGGAGCAGAAAGAAAGGGATACAGGATAGATAGGCTTTTACAGAAGGCGGTTAAGATGGACCCAGGGACAGCATTTCAGCAAAGGGTCCCGCTCAGCCAAGAAGCTGCATGTTTCTGTAGGAAGGGCTAATCCAACTTCGTGCTTGACCTGGGCGTTGCCATCCAGCGCTCATGAGGCTCTAGGAATCCAAGTCGTATCCGTGGGAGACGCCACCTTAGCACCTGGAGAACTTCCAGTGTGGAGGAAAAGAGAAGGAGAAGAGGATTAATTGTCCTCAACAGCCAACTGCTAGCACTGTGTCAAAGGCCTCATTGCCATCGGCCCATTTTGCCACGACCTCTACTGTGTTACATAGATGTCGTTCTCCCCCCCCCTGCCCTTTTGAGGAGGCCAGTGACTCTCCCAGAGTTATGCACCTTGCCCCGGGGTCGCACACAGCTAGCAGGTGGTGGAGCCCGAACCCAGTTCTTCATGAGAAGTGCCTGAACGCTTCGGAGTCGACTTCACAGCTGTCCTCCTGGTCTACACCCTTACCTGCAAGGTGCGCTGAAACCGCATCAGATGGAGAGGATGTAGGGGTGGTTCCCTTGCAAGCCACCCCTGCATGGCTGCGCCGGGCCTGGGGCTCACGAAGGCCCGAGACGGGATGGTGGCCTCGGCCTTCTGTTCGCCATGTGACACGTTCAGCAGCACGCAGCCCCCATCACGAGCGACTTCTGCACCACGCACCGCACCTGGGGCCTGCGAGGCCGCACCCCTGCCCCACAGCCACCACAGGAAGCGGTTTGTGACCGCATGACTGAATCCATCCTCCCGGAAGTTCTGATGGTGGCACAGGCACGCTCTCGCGGACAGAAAAGAGGGGCGTGAGGAGCTCGTCCGGGGGGCAGGGTCAGGGCAGCACCGTGTGAGCCGTGGCAGCCGGAGGCGGCCTTGACGGCTCCCGGGCTGGTCCCGGCAGACTGCCTGATGCGGCCTCTCCGAAGGGCTGGTCAAGCGACAACCGGGCCGTGGGAGCGGTGCACGCGGCTGCCGTCCGTTGTCAAGCTCCAGGCTGTGCAAGACAGCTCCAAGGGAATCCTTTTGGGATCCCGGGACCTCAGTGCCTGCTGGTGCCTAGAAAGGACGGCCAGAGGTTCTTTCCACAGGCCACGAGGCGGCTGGTCCAAATGTCCCGGCCTTCGGCCCTCCTCCTCGTGGACTCTGAGGGAAGGGGCTCAGCACACAGGGAAAAGCCATCCGGGGGCATCTGGAAGGAAGAGAGGCATTTCTCTCCCTTTTGCCAGGCGTCAAGCACTTTACAAACCTCAGCTCATTTAAAACTCAGTGCAGCCCTTTGTGGAGGTTTTTCACATGGCAAACTGAAGCCTGCAGATATGTTTGCTTTTCTTCTGAGACCTCCAGGTTAGTGAGGTTCACATCTTTGAACCCAGATTTGTCTAATTCCAATTCCCTATCAAAGTATAATTTTCAAACCTAAGCCTCTGTCATGTGCTCAGTACATACGAATGCGAGAATTATGCCAGAGTTCAAATTACTTTATTGCTGAGGGAATCAGGAGATGACAGGGCTGGTTAACTGGAGAATATGAGAAACGCACACACTCGAAGAAAATGAATGATGGAGGGTGATGGGATGTGATTATCGTTAGATGCAGAAATGCTTAATAACTTAGAGGACAGTCAAACCATGATCTTTGGGACTGTTTTCTCCATCAGGCAAATGGAACCTTCATCTTGCTGCTTTCCTGCAGGTTAACAGCTAAGTTTACACAGTCCGGGCTCTAGTTGGTCATAAAGTCTGGTGACCTGTAAGCAAGTTTACTAGACCCCATTCTTGTAGGACACAGGAAAGACAGGTAGCTGGTTTGGGGGGCCTAATTTCTAAGTTTTGGATCATTTTTCATAACTGTTGATAACTCCAACCATTCCTTTGAATTGCCCCCCCTTCCACCCCTGTTTCTGTCTCCCTGATTCTTCTCTTTCCAACTCACTTCAGTAAGGAAAATGGATGTGAGATTATGAACTTTTACACGGAGGAGAGATCTGGACAGCATCCTGAGATGATAGGGGATCTGAGTGTCCCTGAAACTCCAAGGCTGGGAGCCCCTTGCAGATCTCAAGTACTGGGCTGACAGCCACATGTCCTTTTGGCTCCGTTCCTGGACCCCTGAGCTGTAAATTATAAATGGCCAACAACAGGTCTGCAGGCATTTCCAACCATCACTCCTCACCCAACTGCTCCGTTACAAATGAGCCGACCTGTGATGGAGACCAGATCCATGTGGAAAACAGCTGGCGACCAAGAATTTGTCCGCTAAACTCCAAACAGGCGAGAGCTCTCAGCCCTTGAAGACCCAGGTCCCTAATGAACTGATGAAACTCCAACCTAGAAATCTTTCCCAAAGGCACATTTATAATCCCTGAATTGCCAGCATCCCAAATCCGGTGTTCCTGGCACCTGGGGTTGACAGTTCCCTGACACAAAGCCATCAGCTAAATCTGTGATACTTACCGGCTTTCTGGTCACATACAGATTTGTGAATTCGGTGAAAAGCCTGAAAGAAACCAGCCAAGTAGCTGCGGTATTAAGGGAGAGGTCTAAAATGCAGTGACCTAAAAGCATTCCGTTGAACTTTAATGCAACGGTCAACCTTGTTTGTGAAATTTCCCCCACCGTGCAAGCCACACCTTGGAAGTGTGTCCACTTGAACACAGGATATACGGCATGAATCTGCACATTTGGGAAGCTACGGATGCAAGAGCATAAAGCAGCTAGAGGCTGAGGCTTAGCTGAGGGAATGATTTTATGGAAGTTTCCATTCTGTTCATTATTTCATCAGTATAATGAACACAGGCCTCAAACAAGTTTAGGGATGTGTATGAAAATGCCATTACCTAGTGAGAACTTCCACCCACTGCCCACACACTTATGGGACCCTGAAGTGACTTTAAAAAAAAATGGTTTTTTTTTTTTTTAATGTTTAC